GTGACTATTTTTTTATTCTCAGTTAAGCTTTCATCTTTTCCCATTTTTTGCCAACATAAATAAAAAAAGGATGCAGCACAAGATGTCTTCAGACACAGACAAAATGCAAAATAAGGGATAGTTTAGCCAGATGTATGTTTCTCTCTAGTCAACACCTTTTAATGGCATTGCAGTGAAGCGCTTGAAACAGTACTAATAATAAAGGAGTAGTTGAATGAAGATGTAAGACTGCGTTCTTAAACAGTCACTCATCTTTTAGTTATACTAAAGTAGAGCAGGAAGTTTTTCCTCTTAAAGTGAGAGGTTTGTCTTATAGGATTAAATATTACCTGGGATTACATAGGCTAATGAACAGCTGGACTCCCTGGATTTAGAGCTGAGCAGTAAGGCTTAAAAACCTAATCTCAGATTTCTTTCCAATTAATCGATTCTCTATTTTTAACTTAAGTTTAATAATAAAAATGACTGAAGATGGTGTTATTTTTTATTTTTATATTAATTACTCACTGTAGTGCTTCTGCCTGAATGTCTTCATTACGGGTCTAGTTACTAGAACCACATTGAGCAGAGCACAGTTTCTTTTCTGTAAAGGATCTAAAAACACACAGTATTTTTTTGGAATGCTGTTAAAAGTAAAAGAACCAACTTAAGCCAGGCATAAGCGTTTTTTGCCCTTTTCGGGCTGATTCTCCAGTTGTGCAGGAATTTTTCGATCTGGCAGACTTTCAGCTGTTTGACGTGTAGTGAACAGGAGGTAATGAGGGGCGATCAGCCTCATACGACCGCCTCTCGATCAGGAATCGTAAGGTCGGGAGAAAATCAAACATGTTTGAAATTCAGTTCAACATCGTAAGGTGGTCGTGGGCTAATCGCTGAGTGGGCAAACAAGGATTCTTGTTCTTCTTCCTCTCAGATGAAAACACAGAAGCATAGCTTGAAATGGAGTTCTTGCTGTAAAATTGACAGATCGTAGTAGCCATGTTTGCTCAGCCATGTCTTTGTCCAAATATGTCGCCTTTTATTTTTAGGGCTTTCAGCACAAAATTGCACAAATTGCCAAGGTACAGGTTTCACTCCAGTGAGCTTCATATTCCTCTTCGACTCGCTTGGCTTCTGGATAGACAAGTCCAAGTAGCGCCATCTCACTGCAGAGCAGAGTCCGAAGTGACTTTTAGACATGTGTGAAGGTAGATCGCATCAGAGCATCAGGTCGCACAGTGTGAGAACAGCTTTAGTAGGGAGGCCCAGAAGTCCCTCTCCCCAGCCACTTGGGTCAGCTCCTCCGGGGGAATCCCAAGGCGTTCCCAGGCCAGGCGAGAAACTTAGTCCCTCCAGCGTGTCCTGGGTCTCCCCCTGGGCCTCCTCCCGGTGGGACGTGCCTGGAACACCTCACCAGGGAGACGTCCAGGAGGCATCCTAATCAGATGCCCGAGCCACCTCAACTGGCTCCTCTCGACGTGGAGGAGCAGCGGCTCTACTCTGAGTCCTCCCTGGATGACTGAGCTCCTCACCCTATTTCTAAGGGAGGGCTACGGAGAAAACTCATTTCAGCTACTTTTATCCGTGATCTTGTTCTTTTGGTCATGACCCAAAGCTCATGACCACAGATGAGAGTAGGAATGTAGATCGACCGGTAAATCGAGAGCTTTGCTTTTTGGCTCAGCTCTCTCTTCACCACAACAGACCGGTACAGAGCACGCTTCACAGCAGACGCCGCACCAATCCACCCATCGATCTCCCGCTCCATCTTCCCCTCACACGCCCTGATGTAAAATTTGAGAAATGCCTTATGAAGTATGAGTATACCCTTTTTGGAAAATGACGGTTCAAGCCCCATCTCTGGCTTTCAATGTTGTTGTGTCCTTGGGCAAGACACTTTACCTGCATTTTCTACTGGTGGTGGCCAAAGGGCCCGATGGCGCCAGTGTACGGCAGCCTCGCTTCAATCAGTGGGTCCCAGGGCAGCTGTGGCCACAATGTAGCTTCCCAAAACCAGTTTTTGAGTGCGTGTGTAAATGGGCGAATAACTGAATGCAGTGTAAAGTACAAGCCATTTATGATTTACCATTCCTGCTAAGGTAGCTTTCTCATGGCAAAGGCTTAATGAGGCTCTTTGCACTGCATGACGAGGTCTGGATATTTTATAGGACTGTAGACCCTTGCTGATCATCTGAAGGACCCAAAGTGGGTGGCAAGCCTTGCATATTTAGCCAGCATTTTTAACAAACTAAACAGCTTAAACTTGTCCCAACAGGCACAAAAACTAATGTTTTATTCTCTCTGATAACGTCACAGCATTGAAGAGAAACAGGGGCGGTGGGCTGTACGAGTGGATGAGGAAGTGTTGAAATGTTCCCAGAGCTGGAGGACTTTATGGAGGGTTAACATTCAAACCATGAAACAAATTACTGCTTCTCACCTCAGGAGCCTGCCTGAAAGTTTCAATAATTGTTTTCCAAATGATGCCGGAAAAGTACCACTGGATACGCCACCTTCTCCGTACATCACCTGTGATCAGAGCTGCAGAACACCCTGCACCATCTCTCCTCTGATCGCACATTACAGACTGCTTTCTATGCATGTGTACTGGATGAGTTCTGG